TCATTCGACGCGACACGCAACGAACGGCGCAACTAACCTTTAGTCTAGTCTTCCCGGAGCAGTTGGCATGTATGCACTCTCCCTTGGTGTACAAAATATGAATGACGTTCTGCCGGAAATTGCATATGCATTTCTTTCTGGTCTCAATGCTTCGACCGTGGGGATTATTGCTCTGGCAGCCGTCCAGCTAGCGGAAAAGGCAATAAAGGATAAGCTTACCCGCATTCTAGTCATCTTCGGCGCTTGTGCCGGCCTGTGCTACAACGCTCTTTGGTACTTTCCGCTTCTCATGGTTCTTGGCGGTCTGTCGGTCGTTGTATGGGACGGTTGGATGAGCCAGTATATCCGTAAAACCAGTGCTAAATGGAGACGACGAAACAGCCACCCCGAAGAGGCATGGCAGGAAAATGGCGCTCCTAACGAAATGGAGCTTCAAGAGCAACAAGACAGCCAGATGCGCAGCACTCCTTCTAATCAAGGCACCGTCCGGTCACGGAAGACTGGACAGGCAGGATCTCTTCCAGAAACTGTTTCTGATGCGCAAACCGAGTCGTTGGAAGTCGGCGCTTCTCATGATCATATCATCCGGATCCGTGTTGGTATAACCGTCTGCGTCGTCTTCTTTGGTACGTGCCTGCTTTGCGCTCATCCTCCAGCTTTTCATATCCAGCCATGAGCCTTGCTGACGCTAAATCAGCCTCCTTTATTGCAATCCTGGTGGCAAGAGGGGTTATCAACTCCCCACCACTTGCCCTGGACTTGTTCGCCAATATGTATCTGGCCGGAACAATTATCTTCGGAGGAGGTCCCGTAGTGATCCCTCTTCTGCGTTCTTACGTTGTTGATCCTGGCTGGGTATCCGGCAGAGACTTTCTGATCGGTCTGGCTCTTATTCAAGCATTCCCTGGCCCCAACTTCAATTTTGCGGTCTTCCTTGGAGCCCTCGCGGTTCAAAAATCCCAGTTCCCGACCATATTCGGCGCTTTCCTTGGCTATCTCGGCATCTTCCTGCCTGGTATCACTTTGGCCGTTGCTGTGCAGAGTTTCTGGAGAGTGCTCCGGAGGAGAAAGTGGGTCGTCGACTGGCTTAGAGGAGTCAATGCTGCTGCCGTGGGTCTGGTCTTCACTGCTGTATACAGGCTGTGGGAGATTGGATATTTGACGCCCAAAGCCAGTAATGGCCAGAGTCTTGCTCTTGAGCCATGGTGGGTTGTTGTTGCAACGGTTACTTATGCGGAGCATGCTTGGTTCAAGGTGCCTCCAGCGATCGCGATCATCATTGGCGGTATTCTGGGTCTCTGCTGGTATGGCGCTGTTGGTCGTTAGCTCAGGTTTGCCTGAAATCAAAATGGATATAGTAGTATAACGTGAATATGAATACGAAAAAGGCCGAGAGGGAGGAATAAAAGTCGGTCTTCGCATATTCGATATTTGACATACAAGGTGAATCATTCCAGTGTGATATACTCTACGTAATTGAGTATCCTTGGTCACAACTCACAAGCCTTTTGAATTCGCAGTCTGCTCTAGTTTTTGAGACATGGTATTGCATATGGAATCCCAGCAACCAAGGTGAAGTAACCAAAGCAAGGGCTGCAAGGCGTTCGATTAACATCGACCTTTGTCCCGCTCTTGTCTCACGTCTTCAGGCGTAGGCCTACGTCAGCGAATGTACTCTGGACGAGCCATCGACATAGTGTTCTCTAACAGTGTCCTGCCTCCTTCGATGCGAGTTTTGTTCCCTCATGGTGTGTCTGAAGTGCAAGCCCTCCGCTGATCTTCTTTGATACAGCCCTGATTCCTTCCTCGATGGTATCAGGATCATTCATAGACATCCAGGGGATGCAGCCATTATTATGACGCAATTCTGCGTCGAGATGGTATAGGCCTAATCCGGGCTGCTTTGACACTCGGGTCACTTGTTGTAGGAGATCGCCCAAGTTCTTTAAATGCTTCGCATGTTTCCGCAAAAAGCGAGACTCAATCGCGTTTACTATGGCGGTATCTTGGCATTTCTCAGCCAAAGTACACAGCTTTTCCAAGTCCACGAAAAGCTTTCTTTGGACATTGAAGGCCTCCCGACAAGGGCCGACAGGCTCGACGGGCGAATCAGGCCATTCATATTTCGGCGCCTCGATGTTTGTTGGCTTACACCGACCTCCGCGGATGATCAGATATTTCTCTAGCCATTCCATATCGATCAAGCACTCCTTAGCGCTCCTGTGCCAAAGCCTGATTGGCGGGATGCAGTCAATAAACCAGTGTTGCAGGCCACGCCCCCAACCTAGGGAGGAACTATTAGGTGACATACATGGCAAATCCGTGCAGAGAAACGTTGGCTCGCGAACAGTCTGCTGCGAGCTTCCGATAAAACATCCAGCTCGTCAATTCTTCGTGAATATGGCCTCTAATAGACTGTGAAGTATAAGCCTCGGGTTTTCAAAAGGGAAATGCAATGATAGCTATCCAGGATCTCTCAATGGACACGGGTTTACCTCTTCTAGCTCGTTCGTAAATGTAGATGGCCGTAGCCATTGATCAAGGTCATGGCCCGAGACTTCAGAGATGATCGCCCTAGCTTGTTCAGACATGATTGCTGTAGGTGAAGAAGTTCGTCTGTTCTATTTTAGATGCAATGCTTCGAGAATGTCCAAAAGCCTAGATATGTTCAGTTCCAGAGGGGAAATGTGGGAAGCATTGCAGCCTTGATATAGGCCTCGTCACGGAAACGCACCCCCGAATCATCATCATGACATATAGTCCACGTATCATGAGTATACGGTATATCATCTACAATACTTGCCGGCCATCATGGTTAGGGAGCGCGAAAGAGGTTCTGGTGAAGATGGCTCACAATGAAAAGAGTCATCACAACAACGTAACCATTCCGTGAGAATGGCTGGCTGAAGCCCGCTCAATTCAATATCCTTCTTTCCAACCGGAAGAACGGAGATTATCGCCATTTGTAGAGAGCAGCAACAGAAGAAGGACATGTCGGAATTCGACTCCGGTGCTCCGTTCCAGTGATGCAATAGGTGCGCTTAAGCATTCTAAAGGAAATATACCAAGGCTCGCGGAGGAGTATGCATCGTAATCGCTGGTCTGAATTGACCCTTGTCTCTATATTTAGTTTTCTTTTAGTGCTGCAATCTGCGCCTCTTTTCTGTGCAGGATCAAGCATATAAGATCCCATAGGGCGAACTCCTTTCAAACCTGGCCTATGAATATCCTTTAGCTGTAGTCTCTGTTCGCTCATTCTTAGGTTTATGGTACATTTATGCCCAGAGGCGACTCACTACTTGGGTCCAGCAATTCAAAGTCAACTCAGCATATTCAATCCTGATGCTGGCTTCATAGCTGGATGTCTCCTCATCGCCTTCGGTCACCAAGCTTGACGATACCATGTAGACCGGATATACCTCCGATGTCAGTAACAGCCATGGTAAAGATGTAGCAGTCAATAATGAGCAGTCGGATCTGAGTCCTGCTACCGATCAGTCCATATGATGTTGGAAACATGTCGCACATACTACGCACTATTCCTACTACGCTAGAAATGGTTTAGTTTAGTTTACCCCTTTATCATTTGATATATGACGTCATAGCTCCATAGAGTAGAATCTGGGCGGTGAAAGATGGCAGTATCAAACAAACAACCCTGAGCCTTTTTTAACCATCATGTTTTGGAGCCCCCAAGCCCAAGGTTCCCTCCGTGCACTTAATATTTGTTACACTTTTTTGTCCCCAGCGGCACCACCGCTTACTTATCTCTAATTGATGATCATCAACGGCAAGATGCTCTACAATGCCCTTATCCGGACCCATCACATCACATCTCGTAAAAAAGTGTCTGCCTTGAAACGAGCAGCTGACACGCACAACTGTTTCGTACTTCTCCGCTCTGGCGGATGTCCAGGGATCATGTATGTTGAATCACGGTACATGAACTGTGTGGAGTCGTGGGTCGATGTCGTGCGGAATCTGCGCTACAAGGATTTCCAGCTTGTTAGCCGACCAGGCGCGGTAACAAGAGATGATCAACCCGGAGAGTCGAAGCCAGACAGACGTCCTCAGAGCTCAGATATTCCAACTTTACCGCACGTAGGGCTTTCTGAAGTTGAGTCCGTCAAGGAATTTGGGAGTATCATGGAGCAACGAGGTATTTGGCAGTGGTGGAGGAAGGGAATGGGTTACCTGAGCTGAGTATTGATGATTGAGCTGAGTGCTAGATCTTTCGCGCTCGAGGCGCACAGCTCCCAAGAGTTGTTGGATTGCTGTCATGTGCCACCTGATTCTGGCAGCCGCATTCTTGCGGCGATATCCTCCTTGCGGCGAGTAATGTCAAAGCCTTATAGCTGCCCTGACATGCACGACAATTTGGCAGCAGTGAGGCTTACGGGTCAATTCTAACAAACCGCTAGAAACTGTCGAATTTGCTTGCCATGGAGGGACCTCGTCAACACGCTCTGCTTCAAATCAGCAAGTCGGCCGCGATTTCGCATTCCTTTCAGGCAGTGTACATGCTTTGCCTGATACAAATGGTTTCGACAATAACCCACCCTGGCCCTGCCTACTTTTAGCACACTTTTTAGGGACTGTCTGCCCACATGAAGTAAAAAAGAGCTTATGGCCTCTGCAACTGATATCTCCATGATACTCGAGGCTATAATATACTAAAGCGTATGAATCCACATATTACCATATGCTATCCGACCCTTAAGTTAATAGCTTTTGTATTCACCTCGGTGGTTTACCTTGTTTTGGTCCTTAACGCCCATTAACTGTGGTATACATTGGATGATGATCAATCTATGTAACCAGCAAATTGGCATTGGGCATGCCTGACCCTGAAACACCGTTCCATATGCTGCGGTTAGAAATATTATGGCTAGAAAAGTATCCGTAAACGCTGAGGAGATGGTCCTAGTGAGGCTTCTCTATTGGAGGCCAATCGGGAGCAGGGTAACTAAGTAGTTTACAAATGTCCTATAAAGTCCAGATTAGACAAATTCCGTATGAATCATGCGAATCTTTGTGCAAACCTTTCGTCTTCGACGGAAGTCTTCGTAGAGAGACTTCCATACCTCCCGATCACGACAACCCCTCTCTTGCACTGTGCCGGGTTTATAGTCACACTTGGGTAGAACCTCAGCAAGCAGCTTCTGGTTTGAAAGCACCCAGGGTTTTGGTAAAGGCCAGTCAGAGAAGTGCACAAGTTTGGCTTCTGCCAGGACCTTGTCAGGATCCCAAGTCTCATAGTCATTTCCAAAGAAATTGCGGTGATCTTTTTTCCGGAACTCGCCGGTAACTAGGCCGTACTGCCGATGCGGAAGAACCAAGGCCGAATCTGCATAGCGATTATTCAACAGCTCCATATCATATCTCTGTGTCTCATTCGAGTCAACTTCCACTTGACCGTGGAGAGCTGGCTGAGCACTCTCCATGAGGGCTTTGAATTCGCGATAAGAGGGTTCAATCACGATCAGCAGGGACGATAGTTGCTTTGTATCCGGGAGCGCCCAGTAAGCCCGAGACATAGCGGCTTTGGCTGGTGGGAGGAAGAAGAGCTCATCCATACTCTGGAGAACGGTAACGTCGGAATCGATATGTATGACGCGATCGTATTCTGTCTCGCCGAATGCGAGCAATTTCGCAATACTCTTATCCCAAGATTCGCCAGAGCCTGTGTCGATTGTTATCAGAGTTAGCGCCAGCTCTGCTTTTGACGAAAAGCCGAATTGGGACTCTGAGCCCGGACTCACGTACCTCCTCCAGCCTTGATTATTTCCGCACTAATAGGTACCAGCAAAGCCTTGTACTTCTCCTTGGCGAGCTCTAGCAACTGGCTGTCCCTGTCATGATCATCTGCAACGAACAGATCCCAGTCTTCGGGATAGAAAAGAACTCTATCCGCTCGGCTACCTAATCGCTCCAGAGCTTCGAACACCATCACGGCGTTACAAAGATAAGCGCTCGACGTCGCATACTGACTGTAGGCGTAACGCGACCAATCGACCTTATTATAGTCGATATGCGAAACAGGAGCAGGAGAAGGGGCTGCACGGCGAAACCAAAGTATCAGAATGATGAAGACTGCGAAAGAAATCCAGGTCCGAATGCGTCTTAGTTGCCGCTTCGCAACTGCAAGACATGGCTCGTCGGGGATATCAAAGAAATCCGCTTCTGAAGACTCAGAGCCCCTGCGGTAGGGAAGAAGGGTCGCCTTTTTGTTTCCCATTGATCATGAATCACCGAATAGTGAGAACCAGGGAACCATTCTGGCGTTATTAACACACATGGCTCAATTTCAGACAGGCAATCACTCGTCATGGCCTTAAAAAAGATCTGCGGACTGGACCATTACCGATCCCCATGCACGTGACGAACGTCCAACAGTATTAGCACCGCCCTGCGTGTCAGATGTGACTCGCGTCTTTACCATGTTTTATCTCTTGATCAGATGTCGGTCGAATTTCGCTCTGGAGTTCTATACATCAACGTATAACAGGTCTTCAACTTGCAAGTTCAAATGAGGGACTACCACGGCTCAGGTGCGTTGCCTACGTACTATGGTGGATAGTTGGAAATAGCTTCAAACACCCACCATACTCTGCTAATCAGGCAGTCGTCGGATCGTAACATAGGTGATGTACTTGTATTCTATGTCAAATGGGACTTTTCTCTATCTTCTGAAGAATAATGTATTGTTAAGTATAGCCTAGTCTTGCTTGAATCTCTTTCTCATCGAGAGGACCGTCCTCCCCAACATAGTTCTGAAGCGCCTCAAGGGTCATCAATCGGCGAGGTGCCTTCCGTCCTGTTAAGAGCTCGAACTGTGCGACCGCTTGTTCTGAGACTAACTCCAACCCTCCGACCAGTATCCACGGCCTTCCAGTTTCACGTCGGAACCGGCGCATTTGCCGCAGCAGGGGCGTATCCAAGGGTTTGTATGCGAACTGCGCCAATGAAAATTGATCAGCTAGGTCTCTTCAAGATCAAACGCGATGAACGTTGCTCACCTCCAAAATCACCCCGCCCGTTGGACTTCCGAGCCACTGTGTCGGCATTTCGAAGTTGGCTGGAGGTTCATCTCTGTCAGGATCTGCTGGCACGCACGAGGCTATTAAGCATGGTGGGCAGGTATCCAATGGCCATTCATCTTCAAGGGACTTCAACACCCGTACTACTTGGGTTGAGCCCACCTGCGATGCAGCCCAGGAATTGAAATGGAGTGCGACACCCTCCGCACGTGATAAGGTTCGGTTGTATATAAAAATTTTTCGGCAACCTAGCCGAAGCATAGCATAAACCGCAGCCCGAGCCATGCCACCGGCTCCAATAACCAGGCCTGTTGATTTCAAGGGGCTGATCGTATTACGGGGAGACAGGTGACGACTGATACAAGTCATAATACTCACCCAGTCTGTGTTTTCTCCGTACCATCCCAGAACAGGCCCCGCCTGGTTACGTCGGCTGGCTTGCTCTTGTAAGGGAAACATCGTTCCATCAGCGCGTGCACGCAGTGGCATGATGGTATTGACGGCCCCAATAGCTTCAGCATGTCTGCTTTTAGATGCGAGTTTCTGAAAGACCTGCACCCTCCACGGCTGCACAATACTCGCACCCCCAAAATGCGGATCACGGCCCAGCCGATCAAGCGCCGCAAGAGAAGGATATTCGGGAATGCTATACGTGTGCCTCATGCCGCAGTGCCGAAAAGCAGCATTGTGCATGGCAGGTGACAGGCTGTACGCCACGTTCCCTCCAAGGATATAGAATTGCAAGGGGTCTAGCGTATAGCTTTGGAACAAGGCTTGAATGGCGTCTCGTGAAGTAATGATGGGATCCCTGCCATTATCTGTGCGACGTTTGATAGCCGGATGGGTCACGGAGGTCAATATCGAATTGAACACCTGCGAGGTCCTCCCAAGACTGCCAATGTTGTAGGCAATCACCGGGGGGTGAGAACCAGGTAAGGATTGGATTTTGTTGATAAATTTGCCCACAGCTGCGTTATCCTCGCGCTCAGTGGCCACCCGAAGAATACGCACGATTTGGCAACCAAGCTTTTCTGCTTCAAGATACAGGGAAAGGCATTCCTCGTCCTCCCATGTCACGCAAGAGGACGGCTCGAAAAGATAATGGCCGATAATCTTGGTTCTACCTCTGTCGCGAATCACCTGGTTCAACAAAGATTGATTTTGGCCCAGATCGACTGCTAAATACTCCACCGCCAGCCTTAAGCCATGCTCTAAGATGTTGAAATACAGCTCTGAGATCTGCGCCGACATGAGGTCACCGCTGCCGATTCCTGACGCTGTTGTATCAACGGAGAGTATGATTGGTGTCCGGGCATTCCTCCGAAGCAAAGAAACTTGCTTGCTGATGGTGCTCGCCATGCTTGAACCCCAGCAGTCGACGCAGAGCTCAATAGCATCTCCACCAGATTCAAGCTCCGCCAAGTCGACGACTCCTTCAATTAAATCAGAGGAGCGAACAAAGATTGCATGAGTAAATGATCGAAGTTCCGGGGGTGTCTCCAACAGTACGAAAGGCGAGTCGTAGCCAGGTTGGTCCACATCCGCGCCGGTGACAAAACGTACGAAGCGGGTGAAGTCCTCCTTCGCCTCTCTGAGTTTGAAGGAGTAATTAACAGATCGGCGATCGGATGTCTCTCCGTCGATTTGAGCCTCCACGCTGGAACAATCTTCGATGTTATAATACTCGAAATTCGAGCAAGTTCTGTGCAGAGGGTCTCCCTCACACAGCAGCTTAACAGCCTGATGCTCTAAACCTAGCAAACTTTGGATCCGATCCATGTCACGAACAAGGTACACGATTGGGTTCTTCGCCAAATACAAACGAAGGTGCTCCTGAATTGGCCGAGTGAGGCTACCAAGACCGCACTCAATGACACACTGTGATTGATGGTTGTCGAGCATCTTCTTGAGAACATCGATATCACGACGCTGAAATTCTTGACTGCCATGGCGCTTGAGGTACTCATGCCGCGTGAGCCCAGTAACTTCCTTGAAGTAATGATCCTCTGTAATGAAACGGCGTTTGAGAGCGGTGGCAGCAACAAAGCCGAGAGAGCGCTTTCCGCATCCTCGAATGCCAACCAGTACTAAAGAGGCGTCGCGATCGAATCTCCGCGAAGTATTGACGCTCGAACTTGGGGGCATCATCGCTGCGGACGGTGGTATATGTACTGTTTTGGAAGCGAAATCAAGAATGCTTGTCCCAATTTAACCAAAGTTGTTTTCTTTTTGGGGCGCCATCTCTCGGTAAGCCGAATTGTCAATGACCTGCACTGGTGAAGACTTGGTATTCCAGGTATAACAAGGTGAAAGATAACAGTGCGTGGTCGGAGTTAAGGAATCAAGAGGTTCTCCGGAGATAACTATTGACAATGGTATTCTCTCAGTCACAGTTAACCTGCCGCGAATAGAAGTTTCACAACTTCACAGCTGCGGCACGCGTGGAGATCTAGAGGGACGAAGACTGAGGAGGTACAGTGTACAGTAAGGAACATATTAGTGATTTAATAGCTCAGACGGCGACGTGCCTCAGTAGATCGCTGTCTCGAGTCAAATGTGGGCATGGATCTGGGATGGACCATTTGCCGTTCATTTTTCCCCAGACGGTCAATCAGTCACGTCTCACCGCCTTTGGGGTACAAACTGCGGCAAAGGTTTTAGCCGCGTGTGGGGCTGCGGTTGATGTATGGGTCCAGCAGTCTGTTAGGGTTATTTATGTACATAAATGCTTATTTAGGCTTCTGTGTAGTCTTAGCAATTGTTACAATAGCTCGGTCATCTTCAGCCTATTGAATCATAATTCTCTTACTATATAGGCTGTCGAACACACATTGCACTACTATTTCTACTACGCTAGAAATGGTTGTCTAGACACGCTCTTAATCAAGTAGTTTTTAGTAGCCGTTAACATAGGCTATATGTATACATGGGAGACCCTCCATGGGCTAACAAAAAACACTATTCAGAAGTTGAACGAAGTACTCGACTAGTTAAGAAGAACAATTATTCTATACGTGACTGGGTAATGAAAAGTCTTCCTGGATCCGCGCTGTGCTTCTTTCTGCAGACACTGAGCTAGACGTAAGTTCCTGTTTGTACACAGTTGCGCGATAGATTACTCTCTTCGTCGAGGTGATAGCTTAGTCTCCCAGAAAACTGTTATAGATGACCCTGCCTGTCAAGAACATGGACTCGATAGTTCTTCAGGCTTCCCACTGACATCGATCTTTGAGAGCATCTGCCCAGTGCAGCCGAAGTTGTTAGATCTCCATCTTTCTCTAATATGGTCTTTCCAAACAGATACTCAAGTGACTTTCACTCGAACAATTGACTACTCCATGCCTTCCCAGATAATATGTTCACAGAGGCTTTTAAAATCAATGTGCCCCTCATGCCATTCTGTTCCTCTTTTCTTTCTTCTCCCGAGTACCATTTTCCAAGTTCCCTTTAACACTGATAACTCAATCTCATAATGTCTGGTTGGACCATCCTCAAACGCATAGCCCATGTTTGTTTCATTCTCCTTCTCAAAGACCAAATTATCCAACTCACGATCGCGTCCAGTAAGCTGCGCCTTTCTCGGAGAGCGAGAAATCAGGGAAACCCGGAAGGCTAATGTACCGATGGGGGCGGTATTCGACTTAGTAACCTAGGAAGACCTGACAACGCGGATGACAAGGGGTGGAGGTGTACTAACTGCGGGAGTTCTGAGTAGATATTTGCTTTGACTTGTGAATTTTGTATATACTGGATGTGGCACTTAGCTTAGGGCAGAGCGGCCGGTGGAGGTTTATTGGGGATGAGGGCCGGGGGTGCCACCGGCGACGAGCTCACCTTTCTACGCAGAGTCGGTGACTAGTAGCCCTCGGGCGAAACTAAGACGAGCTCCGAAGTATTTTAATCCATGCGGCCGAAGCCATCTCTTTTCTTTCTCTGATTGTCACACTCAGGTTGTTACACGCATATTGTCTGAACGTACCTGTAACTTCCAGCTAGCAACTTTGGATATGTATAACAGCAAGTAGTGGCCCTCGAGAATAGGCTGTGACTGGGATCATCCTGCTGTACGGGAGAGTGCAGGGTCACAGAACAAGTTTTAGAGTTGTGACTGGGAGATGAGAGGTCGTTAGGCACTGAGTGAAGCACCAGCGGGTGTGCCACATGTATCAGATCAATGATATCGTTTGTTAGCAACTACCTATGCCAGGAATAATTTGATCCGGGAGCAGCAGAAGCAACAGACGTGATCCAATACTGCGCGACAAGTCACTTGCGACGTTCCCGAATCCATGTGCTATCTAGCCATTTGCTAGTTCCCAGATTTCTTAAAACAGATAAATCGAAGGAACGCGGCTGGTTGCCATTTTCTGTATCTTCCCAGATGACCCTAAGACTGCTGACGCTTAGATGTCCGGTTTGCCAACCTGAGAAGCTTGAACCAGCCAGCTTCATCAAAGAATACCCTGAGCCACTTTCTGGTGGCCCGATGTGGACACTTCGAGCGAGTCTTCATACCTAAAGCTAGTATTTCTGGGGACTTTTCTTTGAACCTACAAAACGTTTCCACGCGCAAAGTCCGAGTTCCTTCATCATACCAGAATGAAGTTTCGATTTTGGCCTCCATGAAAGGATGATGAGTGAAGGTGCAGTCATGCCAGAGCCCGCCCTGATACTCCTTAGAGCCCACGTGGAACAAAGCATTATTGAAGTAATATCGACGCCCATCATGCACTTGCTTGCTAGCATGCTTGCATGCTTGCATGCTTCTATCAAGGCAAGCTTATCAAGGAATGAGATTGTGAGGCAGGGACAGATTTCGACCTCGCCAGCATAAGCCATGCACTCATTTCGGCCATGGCGTGATTGACATTCAGAACAACATGGCTTTCGGTAAGAGCGCCGCGTCCATCGTGGGTTTTGCCATGCTGAATGAGGGTGCAGACTCCAGCATGCACCGCAGTACTTCCAACGGCTCTTCTCCAGCTGGTGGAGTAGCTGGATTCGAGGCCGCTTTTCGACGTTGGGACACAGCTTCTGTCATTTTTCGGGGGGCAGGAGCTGAGAAAGCTGTAGATCGTGGGCCTGGAGAAAGGAATGAAAACAAGCAAAGAGATATTTGCAACTCAGCGAGACGCAAACTTGGTCTGGCGCCCTAAGATATGTGAATATGACACCCACTACCTCTGGTGGAGGCGTGCGAGAGAGTCATATTGGGTGTTTTGAACTTGTTGCGAGATAATAATAGTCGCCAGCAGAGAAAATACCGGTGGAAAGAACCCGAAGAGGTTTTATTCTCCATTCTATACATTCGTTACGTTTTTCGGCGTCATAACTAGAAGCATCCACGGCTTGTCGGTATAGCGCGTCCGTTAGTCCATGAGTACCAACACTACACGCGGATAGAACTGAGCAGGAAATAGAAATACTTAGTACTCTCATCTGTATGATTATATATGGTACCACCCCAGCTATGACGGCATTTACAGACCTGATGCCAAGCCAACATCACTGGGTCTTTAAAGACTCAATCCCTCTTTGACGAAGTCGAGGACCAACTTCCTGGACATTGCGTGAGATATGAGGTTGTCGATGTAAGGGATCACCCAGAGTGGACGAATCCTTTGTGGTTGCCCTGGTACCGACTCGGGATGCTGGGGGAGCTCGGCCCGCGGTTATTGACACGGAGTTGTACCCGTAGTCGTACCTACTAGTACCACAGCTTCACAGGGTGACTAGAAAGTGAAAAGAATGAGCAGCATCCAGCTCCTGCCTCTTATCAGCAGCCCAATAATGGCGACCTCTCAAGTCTCGATTGGCGACTCACTCGAGAGTGCCAATTTCTTTTGGTCGGCCTGAGTCTGTCGGACTCCCTCCGTATTCGAGTATGTACGAAATCTGTGCCCTTTAGGTCCCACATAATGGCAGACCACATATCAAAGTACCGATTTTCGGCAGTTCAACAATCAACCCTTCATCAGATAGTCATGATTGGTGGAATCATCTCTTCTAGGTTTGTCATGCCGTTCCTCACTTTTATCTGCTCGGAAATGAGCATGAATTCGGAGCTGGCGAGAGTCCTAGGCGCGTAATAATGCATGAGGATCGAGACTTCGGGGTGTCGTACTCCGTTGAGGACTTGATCCAGATCGTTCAGTGAATCTGGATCATCATAATATGTATCTGCAGAGTATGTGAGAGTGCACTGTTATTGATTCATAATTGGTTGGGAGTAGATTGATTAGTACTTGAGAGATGGACCACACTGCACCGTTGATGCAGCCTTTAGTTCCCTTCAATAGTTAGGACCAGGCGCTGAAGAGCAGATATCTGTAGGATTCAAGCCAATAATAATGGAATTGGTAATGATAATATTGATCATATCATGGGCTTCGTCTTCCCACATCCCGCCGTGGAGAACCGTGGAGAGCCAAATGTGGGGAGAAGCCGACGGACACCAGCGTTCTTGTTTTCTCACTTCCTGAGCCACTTGCCGAGCTCTTCCCGAACGCTTTCTCGCTAAAACCCGTCCGCCTCTTCCTCGGAATGGGTCTCACTTCAGTGATCAGAGCCTTATCCTCGATCTGGAAGTGTCGATGCGCTGATAAGGTCATTGCGAGTGGCTATGGAAAACTGTGGTCGGCTCCTGTCCACGCTTTCCCCCGTGATACAAAGCTTTTAACCCTCCGATTGCGCCGAAGAAATTCGTTCCTTTACTATATTGAACGAACATTGAGTGTTCAGTCACGACGAGGAGGGACAGACACGTTTGACCGCTTGCGCCGTGACTATTTGTCCCTAGGTTGATTCCTACTGCTTCCCTCTCAATTTCCGTCCGCCGACCTCTTCGTTCGTCTGGTCGTCTGGTCGTCTGCTTCCAAGGCTCTGTATCTCTTGTCCGTTCCTCCGCCCCATACATGGCGTGCAGATCTGCCCGCCATTGATTCCTCCTAGATGGACGAAAGTCCAGATCCAAAGATCCCTCGACGGAAGAGGGTTTCGCGGGCTTGCGATAGGTGTCGGAGCAAAAAGGTTCGCTCATTTCTGTCCCATTTCTGGTCCCTCTACGCATCAGCTGTTCCTGTCCCCCGATCTTTTATCTTCCGACATAGTCAAACGCGGCGGGCTGTAACTGACCCCGTTTTTGGCATATAGGACAAATGCGATGGCCTTCGACCGTCTTGTTCTGCCTGCCGAGCCTCTGGCCAAACATGCTCGTACGATCCACATGCCAAGAAACGTGGTCTGCCAGAGGGCTACGTTCGCGGTCTTGAGAAGCTTTGGGCTCTGTCAATCTGCAATATAGATGGCTTCGAAGATACTATGCTGGCCCTTTTGGGCACAACACCTGACTCTGCTGGCCGGAGGGATAAACTTTTGAGCTTGTGGATGGACGATAGTGCTTCGGAAACGTTACACGAGTCCTGGAAAACCAGCCGTCTCTATGGCACGTTGGAGAAAATGTTGTCGCACTCCGATATGTCTTCATCGCATGGTTCGAGCAAGAGGCCACGGGACGAAAATGATACCGGCGCGTTAGATTCGACGAGCGGTTGGGGTCTCAGACTTGATTGCAGTTCTACACCTTTGGCGCATGATGCGCCACGAGTAGTAGGACTTTCCTCTTCCCAAAATGTCAAGAGACCTCGATTGTCACAGTCGGGTGACGGCGTGTCGGTACCGCAGACCACTGGCAGAGTGCAACCTCTGAAACTTCCTCCGCAGACATCGCAGCTGTTGGACACATATTTCGCCGTCACTCACTCCTGGTTCCCGATCGTGGCGAAGCATAATATTCTTCGAGCATCCTATCTTTACGCAAGCGCCCCTTTGTCTGTTGAGAGCATGTCACCGGGATCCGGTGACCACGCCGCACTGTGGGCAGTTCTTAGCTACACCGTTTCTCACTCGCGAACCAATGCACGGGATGGGGCTTTCGAGGTTCTCGCCACGACAAAGGAGTATTACACCATCGCTCGAGGCCTGATACCTTCCGAAACGGCGCGTTACGAGCTTGGGCATGTGCAGGCGCTTCTGTTGCTGACATTGGTGAACATCGGGCTTGAAGATTGGACGGCCGCTTGGCTGCTAAGCGGTCAAGCGGTGCGCATGGCTATTTCCATGAATCTAGGCACGCGCGCAGACATAAGTCGCTCCGACGAGCTGCGGCAAGGGAAAGCTGTTTTCCTCGGCTGCTTCGTCGTCGATTCTTTACTTTCCTTTCGAATAGCACGGAGACCTTGCATGCACCCTCGAGATCTGACTAGTGTCGGGTTGCTGGAAGAAGACGGCTTGGAAGAATGGAATTCGTGGGCTGACGTTCTGCCCTCCAAAGGAACAGCTCAGGGAAGGACACCTCAACGCGGCCCCCTTCTTGCCCTTAGCTGCTTCAACCGGTTGGTGGAGCTGGCTAGTGTTTTGAACAAAATTGCTCGTGACGCAGTCGGTATGCCTAATGTTCATACGTTTGCGCAACAACTGGTGCTCGAACTGAAACAATGGGACGATCGTCTGCCCCTTGGATGCCGTCTCATTGGGCCTGAGAGTATCTATCCTGAACGCCACTCGTCTCTACTCCCTCATCAGAGCTATCTAGGGTTGACGTATGTTGCTACACTATTATGGTTGTATTTGCGCATTGTTCCCCAGGAGCTCGATCTGCATCGCTCGCAGCGGCCTGCCATCGAAGGTGCGAAGAAACTTTTATTCCGCGCCCTGTCTATGATCACCCAACATTTGGAAAATTTTCCTACGTGCACCCTTCCCCCTATCTTTGAGCTTTCTTTACGCACCATCGCCGAGCAAGCATCTGTTTTGCAAAGCAAAACTGAGTCTGACACGTTTCCTTTCGCGCGATGGGCGGAAGCGTTAATTCAGCGAACTCAGGAACTCGGTTCTGCATGGCCCCTCTATCCTTCACTGAACACAGCTATTGAAAAGTCGTATCGCCTCGGAAACGTGCCGGGACCTTCATTATCTTTCCAGCCGTCTTGTGAGGACAGTTTCTCAAGAAACAGACATGCCTTGTCTGACGCTGTATCCAAAATTGCGACTACAATGGGTGCAGCGCCAGGAACCCGAAATCCACCAGACGGCAGCCGAACATACTCCAACATACGAGGATTCCAGCCTGGTGCAGGCGATTCCGACTATACCTCCACTATACTCGGCATAAGCATCCCTGTAGACGCCCAATATATGACTCCCAAGGATACGACAATGGATACTGGCGACCTTTCCATGCTGGATATATCCTTTCAGCAACAAACGGGGGGCGATTCTTCGATTTTTGGCAAGTCCAATTCAGCAAATGAGCTAGGAGCGACGCTACGTCCATCAGCTCAGAGTCACCCTCACCCACCGACCCCGGATTCTTCAAGCTCTAATCCAACGATACCTGGCAATCCTAACTTCAGTGACCGGTCCCAACACCCAGGGCCAAATTCAAGTAGGGACCTTAGTACATCTATCACCGATGGTCAGACCGCACCCAGTGATATTGATGCTATTTTCAAAGACCTTGCATATCTGGACACGACTGATTGGGCTACAAGTCGTGAGGCAGGCTTGAAGGATTTTGGGTTTCTAGACGACAGTACTTTCCAGGCATTTTGTCATGATCCTGATCGTTTGGTCGGATCTCAGCCACTGGTTCACCCGCCGTCTATTGCCGACATTTGGCCTCCCCCGGGATTTTTCCCGGAGACCTTCCAAGAATCTACCGACGACATGGAAAGTTGAGCTTCACCAAGATCCCTCCTTCAATAAGCAACGACGCCGCTTTGGGAGTCTGCGCATCAACCTTGAACGAAGTTACACATTCCGAGGCTCCTTGACTTCGCTGCCTTGGTGTTATCAAGCCGGGGGAATGCCGACGGGAATCCTTGAAGTTGGAAGCGGTTCGTGTTTACGTGATACCCAAATGTGAGCAGCAATGCTATGATATTTCCTAAGTCTTCATAACGGGCTAATTGATGGTTGTATAGTTGCATTCTTCGAACAATTGTATATCGTCATCGGAGAAACGTTCTCTCTGACGGCTACTACATGACATCTCATTTCATATATCAGGGAGTATCAATATTTCGCTAGAACACTTAGTCAAGGGGACCTGATTAACTATGTATGATGCTTTCAGAATCTTGAATGGCCCGGCAGTGAATTCTCCAGTTCACTCAGGTAATGCGAAGATGTTCTAAGAAGGCAACAAGCAGCGATCACATCAATATACGACAACAAATAACCTTCAGCAGTAGCAACCCGTGAAGCCGACAGCTCAACAGCTCATCCGCAGCGGACTGATGTGCTTCTTCAGCTATGGCACGATATCAAACCCTGATAAGCGCCTCCCTTATATACTTGACAGTAAAGACCTCTGAAAGTGTCCTCTAACGAAAATCGACATTACATCTCATGAGCGTACGGCTGTAGAAGAGATCCAGATCATCCAATGCGATATCCCGATATCTGTTAGTCGTTGATTACTGAAGCTCGTCTGATGCTATGGTAAATGACTGGTAGCTCGGCCCTGGAATTGGTAAATAGAATGGCTACGAGATGTTGGTCAGCCAGACCATCATGGAAGATCAAGGCATTTATGCATGGGTGGCATGTTGCTCCGTCGATATGGCTTAGGTGTCTTGGGCCTCTCGTTCGAATAAGTAGTATTAGAGATGTAAGCATGATTCTCTCTATCTTCAAAACGAAGGGAAATCACGAAGACATTATACTATCGTTATCATGTTCGTATTCGTCGTGAGTTAAGCTAGATACAAAGAGCCACCAGAAACCCCTCCCACCGCAATCTTTTGATATTCAAAGCGAAACATCCAGGTATATAATAAATGATGAAACCAACCAGAAATATGGAAAAACTGCCTCCGAACACCACAAAGAATGCAAAGCTCTAATGACATATATGCTGGGTATAAGTAATTCGGATCAGCATCTGACGATGCCCATCCAGCTGAATGGGCTCAAGGCATGCTTCAGTATGCCCATGCTAGAATGTCACCTTCGCCATCCAACGTTCCATATCACATGAGCAATGTCTCTAGCTGTGTTTACAGTATCAACAACCCTATCAAATATGCTGGCATTCGAGTTCTCTCCTTCATCCAGAAATTTACTCGAACTGGAGTTCGAATGCTGATGTCGGTGATCTTCTTCTTCATCTTCAGGATTCACAAACCAAGGCTGATTCCCGTCTGCGACGCCTTGACTCTGGCTCGGCTGCCAGCAGAAATCCAGATGGTCATCCTCGCCGTCCAGAAAGAAGCTGAACGCGGGATCAGACGGTATGGAAGATGTAGACGCGACAGTCGATTTCGAAAAGTATCCTGTCCATCGCCCTATCATCGAGCCTGATGGCGGTTCTGGCGTGTCTCCTCGACACTTGAGGGTTGTTGGGGGGAGCGGAGCAATTATTTTGTTCTCGCTACTGAAGCTGCCTCGCGGCGTACTTTTATGGCTCCCAGACTCTTGTGGCGGGAGCTGTCCCATCATGACGATACCCTCGTCCGACAAAACATCGTCTTCTGAACCTACCGGCCACTCCTCCTCCTCCTCCTCGTCGTCGTCGTCGTCGTCATCGTCGGCACCCTTGGCGTCGATAGCTATGCATTGCACTACCTCGTTATTGAAATGAATACGGCGCCTCCCGCTAGGAGAGGCCACCCCAGATGACTCTTTGGTAGAGGCATAACTGAGCGGAACATCTGGAAGGTTAGCTGACGACTTATTCAGTCGAGGTTCAAGTTCGGGTCTTGAGACAGAAGGCCGAGTCCGATAAGAAGCAGCCTCTTGTGCCTTTAGGATCGCGCCTGCGTGTTGCAGGAGGGTGTGCTGAGACAGCGATCGTTGCAAGATAGTCTCCGACGCCGTCCTTTTCTTCAAGATCGGCTTCCTGTCCGCATACAACGAGGGGGTTTCGAGGCAGCTCGGCGGCGGGGAGATACTCGGCGACGCTTTTGAAAACTTGGTGCACGACTTCAACGGACCATACAGCCATGTTACATCGCAATCTTTCAACCTGGTGAAACTTGTTAGAATACATAGACACAACTGTATACCAGATTTGCTGGGGTTATAGAATACGAGATCATGCAGTACTGACCAATTGAGGGTCTCGGGCGACACCGTTCCCAAGTTATTCTTTAGTTTTGCCCAAGTACGCCAAGAGGCATTCTCTAATCTCGTGCCATTGCTGTAAACGTCTCTGCGACAGACGACATATTTCCAAGAAGCCCAAATATCTTCCTCTTTCCACTCATGGGAGAGATAATCGACATGCCTAGTCGGCTCCTCTTCAACCGAAGTATCATCAGCGGCCGGCGTATGTACATGCAAACAAGGGGGATCCGTGAGAAAAGACTCTGAGGCCTGGTCCGAGGCAACAGCTGATACAGGCTCGTCCAAGTCGTTGAAGTGGCTCGAATCATATGAAGGTAGGATGATCTCGTCATCGCTATCGTTGCTCACGGAGAGAGACAAACTGCTAAGGGTTGCTGGAGTAGGAGGCAGCTGCTCCTCGGTCGTCGGTGCAAAGTGAGGTGAGGGAGGAACCGAGGACGGGGCAGACGAAGTGATCGGACTGGGACAATCTCGCTGAGAGTAATGGTGTAGGGGATTTTTGAACATGGCGATATCAGGTGAGTCCAGGTAATAAGTTTGGGCCATGGCGCGTCGCTGGAGATTCAGAGGAGACTGAGAGAGCTTTTCCCGCGAGACAGGTAGCACAGCAATCATCGTACTGAGGGTGGAGAGATCACAGTCGTCAAGGGACTCCGGAGTGAAGACAAACTTGTGGAAGTGGGATGACGACTATATTAAAAGCTTCGATACAACCGAACAAGAGAGAAGGCCTGGTAGGGGAAAGAAATAATGTAGAAAAGCAAAGAAAAAAGAAAAAAATATTCAATTGAGGACGATCCGAGGGAGCAACTCAGATTTGAAGCATATGCGAAGGAGGAACTTATAGATCGGAGAGGATGATCGATCATGAGATCATGAGAGTGTAAACTCGAGGGACAACTAAGATGGGGAGATACGTTGAGTGTTTTGATATCAACAGCGTCAAAGTCCTTTGGTTCTCATCCTTCTTTCCTTCGTGCCTCGCCTTCTTCAAACGAGAGCCTGGAATCCATCAGTGGGCACTGGGCAGGGGTCAAAGACGGATGAGTTTAGTTAGTACGGAGTACAAGAGTAAGGTAAGGTAGTTATCGATAGGAAGTGGCGGTTTTTTTGCGAAAATGGCAAAACAAGGAAGAGGTCATGGCGGAGGAAGTGGAGATGCTAATGTCTGTTTGCAGTTTGCATGGTCTTTAGTCCCCTCTTTTCTATTTGTTTTAAGTTCGGTTTCGGAGTCTCAGACAGTAATTAAGAGTTTTGATTTCAACTAGTTCCGAGTATAGATACGACGGGAGGGGTACTAGAAGGAGGTTGGTTGATACCAGAGATAGATAGTTGATGGAACTGCTGAGCGGTCACCTCGACTATCACTTGAGATAATAACTAACGAGGACAAAGGTACCCGAAACGTAGATGGATGTGTACGTCAGGAGGGCAGTACCCCATGGGTAAGAGACACAACTATACCATGAGCCTTTGATACTAAGGTACAGAGTGAGTACATCTGTTATCTAGTTTGCACGATAATACCTTAGGCAGGCTGAACGTTTAACAGAGCATCACCTCTCATCATGATAGGTACCTACCTTGGTCAAGTGGGGAAAGGTTGGCAGGTTTCGTGGTCTCATTGGGCGACCGTTGTCTTTCTTAGGTAATCTTAGTGGCTTGCCAGAACTTTCATCTGGGTCCAAGTGGGGTTGTCCATTAGTTCTTAAGAGCTCCAGACCCAAGGAGAAGCGTTGGCGGGTCGAGATTCATGATAGCCATGGAGGCGGCCGCTGGGCAAGTCCTATTCTAGATAATAGATTAATATTGGCGCTAAATGAACTTAGAAGTGAAGCTCGCTGTTGGTCAAGAAAATGCTCCGTGTACTCCGTAAAATATACCACGGACCCCCTGGGGAGAGGAAGTAAAACAATGCGCGCAAAACGGTTCTCGAGAAGGGTGTTATTATCTATGATCTGTCTACCTACTCTTGACTTCTGAAGTGGATGCTGAATCTCATTGTCGCAGATGAAATCAGATAGTCCGATCTAGCCGGGTGCAGCCTTGAAGTACGGAGTAATGCTACCTAGGTTCAGATATAAGTATGAATAACAACAAGAGGGGTTGTCTCACAGTCAGGATGATATTGATCCACTACACAACGGTTTCTAGTTTTCCTAACATGCTTGTGCAGTTCCGTAGCTCCAGTCGTCAAAGTGAAGCCGAAAATGGTCTCGATCGGCGAAAGTAGACGCACTTCCATCTGTGATCGGCTACCAAAGCTACGGCTTGAGTAGTGTGTGTACTTCGTAGTGCACAGGGTAAATACGATGATTCGCCGGAATGGTGCTGTCGGAGTATGACGGGACGTTTCCCGAGAGACGCCAAGGAGATAGTACCCTCATACAAATATAGGTAGTAGTAGGTACTTATCCTTCCTTAGACATTGTTAACTTTGCCTTTGTATAGAAGGCCGCTGATTCGTCTAGGGACGAATGGCCATGGATGTACGGTACAGGCAAGTGGACTCTGGAACTAAGTCGAAATGAAATAAATACCTTCGGAGACTGAGCGACAGATAACGCAACTTGAACCATGTCTGCTACATGAAATCAGACCGGAAATCCTAGCTATCCAATGGTCGGTTTAAATTGGAGAGCATGGTTGGAAACCTGCAGGAGGTCTATCTGTCTTTGTACGAAGTCAGTAGACTGAAATCTCCTCCGTATGCAATATGCAAATGTCACTTCATCTCCTCCCCCCTGTCTAGTCTATCGGATTCTATCGGAGCCATCAAATGCTGTTTCCCGCGCCTTTCTAGAGAAAATATGCTGAATCGTGAGTTATGCCATTAACAAGCGCCTTGCACATCTCTTCCGTTCTCAATGGGCCGTCATGTCCTATGTTGTCTATCTTATCCAACTGTCCGTAGCGCGGCGCCACTAGCTTGGTGATCGAGGCTTTCTTGTGCCACACCCGGGTAGAAGGATCTGTGCACACCCTCGGCCACGACGCAGCATGCCATAGATGCGTCTCGATGCAATAATGATAGCATCATAACAGACGGAAGCATTTGATACGATGGATTGCAGCTCCAAGCTATGCGCAGCTAGATTCTTTCACGCTGTCAGTTCCCGGTTGCCAAAGTCTAAACAGAAGACGATTGGCCCTATTACATCTAGCCTACCAATTGGCTTGGTTATTGCCAGGTCAGCAATTATTGATTATTTATGAGAGCCTTTAAAAATTGGGGCAGTTGAAAAGGGGAGCTCGGTGACAGCAGGCCAATCTGTTTTCTCGTACCTATATCTGGCATGTCTAAATGGAGATTCGGCCTTCCATCGAGAATCATCTAGATCTCTTATCAGCACTGCAATGGCAATTTTGGTTTTGTATTATTACTGGGATTCTATATCAGTCCTAGAGCTTTTGGTTGTCTTCTGAGCGCTATCTTAGCACCGTAGTAAAGGAGTAGCACGCATGGATATCGTTGGCGGAGACGTCATGACTCTCTTAGTTTCACAACTTACGCCTCGCCGTAATCATCCTTGTTCTATTTCATTTCACTAGATTCAATTCAGGCCTGATGAAAAGAATTGTTCAGGAAACAGAGTACCACAAAGCAGCAACTCATTATTATCATTATCTGACCTGCTCTTGTTCTAGCTTCCTTGCGAGAAAAGTCTTCAATGGGTAAATCAGACCATTAGTCAAGGTAATCTGCTTATTCGTCCTGAATTACTATGGTAGGAATCTTTATTCTTTCATGGGTGCTGTAGCAGAACTCCGTAAATGATTCAAGGAAGCGACTCAATGCATACCAACCTACTTACCATGACTCCATGAGCGAGCGCCTGTGCTCCTGCATAATATCCAGACCAACTTCCGCCCACAACCGTTGCGTGCGTGGGGTCGTCCATTGGTTGTTATGCTGCCATATCTATCTATGGAATACCTTCCTATCCGAAAGGTAACGCCAGCGTTGGCCACTGCAAGGGTTCAAGCGCGCGGGGGTACATTACTAGATTACTGTGGCAATGGACACTGCAGAACCCCCACTTGATGAACTTGCAGAATTGCACAGCGGGGGAATATAGACTGAAATCCTGGAAGTAGCAGGACAGCAACAAGACCTGCAATCGACTCGGGTGTCATAAGTTGAATTAGTCGAATACTCTGATGCGCGAATCACTTCGTCGGCTAGAAAGTACTTGTTCCAGCTATTACATTGATGTCACATGACCGTAGCTCAGGCTAGTGTCCGCTACTAGCGGTTAGGCTCGATGGCCCCGCGCTCCGTTGTATCAATATCAGTTGTTCAGTACACCTATCGCCTGAGCTTAGATTTCAGAAACTCATATCAAGATGGCTGAAGTAGCGCAAAATTCTCCTGCCGAGGTTCAGGCCAAACAAGTTGTCTATTGTGGTGGTAAGTCCCATGGCCCTCAATCCGACGCCAATATCCCTGCTCGGTCCATTCCTATAATTGCAAAACTGAATCTCGCAATCTCTAGTCTGCACACTTCCTCCAGAGGTACGGGCATTTAGCCTTCCTGTCAGCACGTCCACCTGAATTGCCCTCGTTCGCCGTATCGAAGCAGGGCGCGGGCAGCAGTAATCAAGATAATTGCAGCATATTAACTCGAAAGTGTTTCCAGTACTGTGAATTCGGCGGTACCGCAAAGAAGTGCGAAGAATGGTTGAAGGATAATCATGCAGATTTATATCAGCGGCTGTACTCGGAAGGTATGCTTGTCCATATCTTTTCGCCTATCACCAGCAGTGAGAGGCCAACTGAGATTCTTGGTGTAGAAGCCCTTAGCTCCAATCTGTCTGAGCTGTCAGTATCCGTTCGGGAGCGTGCAGCCAAAGATGCCGCCAAGAAGGAAGCGAAAGCTGCTGCTGCTGAAGCACGCGACGCCGAGCGGAAGGCAGCGGCCAAGGTTCAGATCAAGCGTGTTGAGCGCAATAAACGCAAACATGTCACCGTTATCACAGGGTTGGAAGTACATGGTTTGGAAAACAAGAAAGTTGCAAAGGAACTGGGAAAGAAATTCGCTACTGGTTCCTCGGTAACGAAGTCACCCGCAGGGGTCGAGGAAATCACAGTGCAAGGTGACGTTAGTGAGGACGTTCAAGAGTGGCTTCTAGAACTATATGGGAAGGAAATTCCCGAATCCAACATCGAGCTTGTCGAGGATAAGAAGAAGAAGGCAAGTGGCTGAAACGATAACCTTGTGAAGCCGCACGTTCAATTCTGGGAGCTTTTCTCCCCACATGTTGAGTATCCTGACAATATGAATTCAAAACGACAATATGAGAGTGTGACGCATGATGACCCTGAGCAAGAACATCTGTCGCCGGCTGGCATGATCTTCCATCAAAGTTCATCAAGTTTTCTTAAGGGATCCGAGCTAGCACGAGTTGTCATTGCATTGAATGTTGGAGAGGTCGGTGTAGGGGCCGAATGGGACTTCCGATAACATCCCGGACGAGACCCGCTGCCAGAGCGATCTCGAGAGCATACTTCGCCAGAAGCTGGCTCCGATAGTTGGATGGCTAGTGCAGAAGCACGTCTGTCCCCCATTTCAACGGGTACGGGACTTTCAAATCCTGGAACACAGATTGCCGAGGACTTCTGGCTGATGAGAACGACCAAGAAAACCAGTACGCTAAGAGCAACAACAACCCAGAAGAATCGAAGCCGTCGACCAACTCGTGTCTGCCATTCCACCTCCTTTTTCTCCCAAAGATCGATTTGGTTGCGGATTGCTTCCAGTCTCTTCCCAAGTGCGTCGGCTTTCTTTTTTCCCGATCGCATACGCTCTTCTAGCCTTTCTATTTTTCGCATCTGGGGCTGAAAATCCTTCAGGTCTCCAATCTGTCTCCGAATATCGCCATCCAACACAGATGTCTCCCGCTCAAAGTCATCGAATATGGTTGATGCGGAATCGGAGAGTTCCTGAAAAGATGCAAATGTTGAAGTAAGAGCAGCGATCTTCTCAAGCAGACTGTAGTATGTATAATCCAACCTGCGTGTAATATCTGTTGCGAGAGTGCCGATCGTAGACAGAGCGGATCGTAAGTACCTAAGCCATTTGCTGAAGTCAGATAGTTTGTCGATAGACGTTGGGAACGAGCTTACTCCTCTCCTTGTTGTCTTCTAGACTTCACGAGCTCTAGATCGTTTAATGAGCGTACATCGTTTGCCATCAGGAAATCAGTCCTCTGGTTGTTATGTTTCCCACCAAGTATAGTGCCTTTTCCATTTCCAGACACCAAGCCCGTGGTAGAATCTGATCCCCAACGCGATCGAGTCGTCTCGCGCGTCGTGGGCTTGAGCAGCTTATCATCAGCCTCGCCTAACCCTTGCGCTCCCGTCCAAATTGGCAACGAGCCTCTGGCATCGGCAGGAGTGACGGAGCGATTCATCTTTGGCGGGAAAGTGCTGTAATGAGACTAAGGTAGCTGTATCTGTCTTTATCGCTATTTCAGCCGGCTGATGGGTCTCGACAGCTGGACGATCGTGCGCGCGATTTCCTCGAAATGCATTGAACCAGTAGACAATAAAAATTGGGCCAAGTTCATTGTACTTTGGAAGCCCTTCTGTACTGACAACTGTCTTATGTCCGCTGCGAGCGAAGCAAATGTTGTCATCGAGTAGGTGGGTCTTGAACCCGCGCTTGTCGGACGAGAGAGTACCAGACATCCATTTTGTTCGAGTAAGCCGCGACGGCCCCATCTGTGCAAATCGACGGGCACCCTTCGTCGGATCTATTTCTCTTCTTTGAAACGCAGCCGGACATCCTTCAGATCCCAGAATGAGAATATTTAGATTTGCGCTGTAGACTCTCTAGGGCTTAATAACCACCCCTCCTCAATGACATAACTGCAGCATGCGAGATCTCGCCCCGATCAATATGTTGAGCTCTAATAGAGCAAGTGTCTTGAGAAGCCATCAAAAAGATGGAAATGCGGATTATGAAAATGTCATTTTGATTCATGACCTATATTCACCGAGGTATTCTTCCGTCGAAACATTGCATGTCATACAAATCAGGTCAGGAAGAGACTGAAACAATTAAAAACCAACCCAACTCCTGCATCGCCGCCAATTACTCGAGTAATGCAATATCTGAAGAACTGAAGAACTGAGGGAAAAGAAAAGAACCTGGTATCTGCCGCAAATGTGGATATGTACTGCGGGTAGGACCGTAGGAGGAAGATAATGCATGACAGGCACTGAAGCAACAGCGGAGAGAGATTCTTCTGCTGTCACGAGTGGAGTAACTTATTACGCTTCTCCCTTCGCTTCAGCCGCTCAACACGTTTGCGATGCATTTTTTCTGCCATTTTCTCGTAGCGTTCCTTTTCTTCCTTGGCAGCTCTCCGATCCTTGATCTTTTGTATTTGGGCCTGACCAGTATCGTCAGCAACGGAGAAAGTCCATGAAGAGCTTTGCGTCTTCTCCCTACCTTCCGTTCAGCCTCTTTTTCTTCCCTTAGCTCACGTTCGTGTTCCTTAACCGCCTCCTGACGCTTGCGTGCTTCCAACCTTTTCTCATAGCTTGTCAGGCCTGAAGTGGGACGAAATGGTTTCTTGGAATCGTGCCAGTTTTTGCCTGTGGAAACGGATAGTTATGTCAGCTGGAGCAGCTCGAGGCGATAGCAGAACAGCTGAAAACTCTTCAAGAAACAGTACGGTAATGTAAGAGACCGAGGGGATGAGGTCGGGTCGTACCGTTCTTTCTCATACCCTTGACGGGGTTGACAGATGAGGTTGGGATTGGCGACGACATTGTCAGCAGAATTATGAAAAAACTATGGAAGGACGGGTCTATAACAAAATGAGGAGAAGAGCTGGCCCTGGTCTGCGAGGGAAAAAGGGCTCCGGGCAGTACGGAGCAGAGTACGAAATAGTTGTAGTGGTGGCACTACCTTAATAAAACTACGATCTTTCAGTGACCAATTTTTATTAGCGGCTCGCAATTTTTTTTGGAAAAAGTTATCTTAGACGGATCAGATAACCGGATCTCGGCTGAAGTGGTGGTCCGATCCCCACCATGGCGCCTAAAAAAGAAATGCCTCAATCGAACCTGCCTCATTTCACCTCCCGTTCGCGAGATTTACGGTCGCAATAGAGCGCCACAGATACAAGTCTCCACCACAGTCTCTGAATCAATCATGTGCATTGGCCTTTGAGGCCTATTCCCACTCATAAGCGATGCGCACTTAGCGGCTTCACCGAGTGTTGATCGGGCACAGAAGTTAATTCGAAATCAATCCAATCCATATACACCGCCCCTCCCGTTCCTTCTCCTCTGGAAAATCGGACCTATACAATGCTTCACCAATAAGTCTTACACTGCATCCCTTCGCTTTTCTATCTCTTTCGCAGCTTATCGTCTTCCATCACCTGCACTTCAGAGCTCAGCAGCTCGTTCCCTGAACCTTAATGGCGGCCGCAGAACATGTGCTTGCAATCGACAATGAGAAATCAATGGAGCTGCCTGTCCTGCCGCCTAACCAAGGTTTCGAGGCGTTCAAAGACATAATCTTTGGATCTGTAAGCGCTTGGCTTCTTCACGTCTAAACGAATATCGCTCACACTCAAATTCATCTAGGCAGCTGGAATGGCTGGCAAGGTCATTGAATATCCTTTCGACACTGTGAAAGTGCGACTTCAATCACAACCAGCTCATATTCCACTTCGGTACCAAGGCCCTTTGGACTGCTTCCGCCAATCAATTCAGGCGGATGGTCTACGAGGGCTCTACCGAGGCATTAGTGCTCCAATGGCAGGTGCTGCCGTAGAGAATAGCTGCCTCTTTTTCAGCTATCGCATCATTCAGGATATTCTAAGGGCCACATGCTACCCTACGGCGGATTCTATGCCTTTCTCAGCTCTATTGTTTAGTGGTGCTGCTTCCGGGTCTATCACCTCGCTTGCACTTACCCCTATTGAGCTCGTCAAATGCAAAATGCAGGTACCACTTGAAGCTTCTAGCAGCAAGATTCCCGGGCCATTGACTCTCGTCGCCGCTATATTTCGTCAGGACGGTATTCTTGGTTTCTGGAGGGGGCAGATGGGAACGTTGATCCGTGAGACCGGAGGAGGAGCTGCCTGGTTTGGAGGCTATGAAGGAGTATCCGCTTTCTTTCGAAAATACCATTCAACAGCGTCGCCTCGCGACTCTGAGTCACTTCCAATCTATCAACAAATGATCGCAGGGGCCGCAGCGGGTATAAGCTACAATTTCCTTTTCTATCCGGCTGATACAGTCAAATCGCGGATGCAGACCGAGGACATCAATAGTTCAGGAAATCGTGGTCATAGGCAAACATTCTGGAGTGTTGGCAGAGCTTTATGGAAGCAGCAGGGGCTGAGGGCATTGTATCGAGGCTGCGGTATTACATGTGCTCGTTCTGCGCCCAGCTCAGCGTTCATCTTCACCATATATGAAGGGCTGCGGAACTATTTCTCATGAGCATAATTGTCCATTACTTGCCCGTGTCTTCCCATTGACTTTTACTTCCCCCAACCCCCGATAACCCTCCTTCCTCTAGCTTGCTCGCGTTTATGATACCTCACTTGATGTGTAGATCTTCTGTCTTCTTCTAATTTACGGCAGTCAACATTCTGGGCCAATCTGGTATTGGCATCTTTTCAACAGGAATTCTTGTTCTTTCATTCTGAATTGTGGCACAAATACCCACGACGCTAAACTCGGTGCTTGGAAACCATATATATAGGTCACAGCATAGAAAGAAATATCATTGTGTAAACTGGCTTTCCATGAATACATTCATGCAAACTTTGGTCAATCTAACAGTTTACCTTGTTTCACCTTTCTATAGGACTTTCCACTTTTTCCAGAAGGCGGGGTAGAAAGTTGGGAACAGCTCGCTGCGGAACCGCCACTAGAGACCTTGCATCTCACTTTGCGACTACAATCTAGATAGCCCGTGTCCATCAAAGCTCTTTTGTTCTTCTATAAGTGCGCTTGCCTACTCTAAACTTGTCCTTAACTATGGCAACACTCTCAGGTCTTACAATGCAAGAACTAGAGACACTCTCGTCTAAGGCCATCGCTGCAAAGGCCAATGCTTATTGTATGTTCCACAACAAACATCATTCCTCGATCACATGGAAACCCTTTCTTTACCACCTACGTATTGGGACAAGTTTTGAAATTGAGCAGGTCCTTATTCCAAATTCCGCGTTGGTGCTTGTGTTCTCACTAAGACAGGCGAGTATATTGCTGGTGCCAATGTCGAGAATGTCGCATATCCTGTTGGGACCTGTGCGGAAAGGGTAGCTTTTGGTACCGCGGTCGTAAGTACTTGAGATGATGTCTCCTTGTCCACATGGCTTCTTAGGGTCAATGCATACGGTTGCCCTCGAAACTTGGTGAGAAGAGCAGTCTCATATGGACCGATGTTATACAGGCCGCCGGACACCAAGACTTCAAGGCCGTTGCAGTCGCTACTGATATCACACCTGGCGCATCGCCATGTGGTATGTGCAGGCAATTGTAAGTGCTACCGGACCAGACCTAGATCTAATCTTATCGACTTTGCGTTCACCTCGGCCTGGTTCTATTAGTGGCATTGATCTAAATATGTACTCTTTTCATATTTGGTTGGCCTTAGTCGGTTTTCGAAGGCAATTTAATGCAACCCGCTGATCATCTCACTTTCCTATCCACTTAGCATGCGCGAATTTACACCCCCATCGTTTCCTGTTTTCATGTATGACGGGCAGGGAAACTATGCTGTGAGGACAATGGGAGAGGTAAGCAGTCCTTTCATTGCCGACTCTTTATTCCACATTGCTGCTTGTTTGCGTACAGTTGGGAACTGCTCCGATTGACCCTTGTCACTTTAGCTTCTACCAGACTCATTCGGGCCGGATGACTTGCCTCACTAGGCCTGTGGGACTTGCCAGGCAATGCATATCGGTTAGATATCTGGATGCATTTTTGTCTCCCATTAATAAGGCTCATGGCAATGGTCTGACATAACTAAGCCTTCATTCAAAATACAAATATTGGGTTGGGTCTCATTACGCGAAGGCATTCACTGCACCATACAAATCAATCAACAATGATCAGCAGCCGATGTCATAGCACTGAGAAACTCGCAGACAAGACCTTCATTAGAAACAGTATTCAGCTGAAGCAACATTTCACTCTATTCAATTACCAATATGTCGATATCTTGAAGACTCTTGAAAATTGTAACAAGGGCTTAAACCGGCCCAGGGTACATGTCAAGGAAACAAGTAATCTCACAACCTCATCGACTTCGGCAGTAGCAGATACAAGCTTGATTAAAGCTCATCGTCTTCATCAATCTCGGCGTCATCGACGCCCAAAAGCTCATCTTCATCGTCGACGACACTGGTATAGTCGCCTCTTCGGGCCGCAAACGAGCCCCTCGATGCGTAAGGCCTTGAATAAGCCCTGTTGCGCCCAAGGCGCACATAACCGCTGGCGCTGCGCCACAAACTCATGGCAAGAAGAGGAAGTGCTCTGATAACAGCCACAATACCCGCAATAACCGCGATTGGCACAGTGACTATAGGTGACTCTCGCGAGAGTAAGCCCTCGTAGGTACCAGCATTCTCTCCAAGGCGAATCTGGCCAAATTTGCCATCCCACTTGGCGTACACATAATACCCAACACCAGCTGCTGCCACAATGGGTATCATTATCGCGAAGAATAAGCCGGTTCCACTTATACCATGCTTCTTCTCATACTCCTTTTCTTTGCTTGGACATGGCTTTGAAACAACATGGTCTAAAATCAACCCGCCCGCGCACGTAGTTTGTGGAATCCGTCGGTACGCTGTCGGCTCCCAGTATTCGACCCTATCAGGATCTTCCCTACACACGGCTAATGCGTCAGGTTTGGGAAGGCCGGGTACTAGTGCACAACTACCATCATTCTGGGGCTCATAGTTGTAATTACTGTAATAGCGGTCAGATATGCCAATAACAAAATCAAGAGAAGAAGCTCACCATTCATAGTCAGCTCTTGTGCAGGTGCAGTTCCTTCCGATACTGTGGACATGAGGTTCGCGCCAATTGTTCCAGCACTGAGAGGACGGCTTCTTGCGGTGGTACTGTTCTACATGGCCGAATAGACAATTATCTTCCTGGAAGGGGTGCTTGGGTTCCCAGAGGTAATAATCGTCACTTTCTTGTCCATTTTCGACCAAGTTGCATGACTTCTTCCGGAGACCACTGAAGTCGACGTTAATCGTGGCAAGTCTATTGGACTCCACTTCTTTGCCCCAGAGAAGAAAATTCTTGGAAGTGTCGGAGGGAACGGTAGACAGTCGATAAATATGCATCTCGACTTCCGAAAATTCATAGGGCTCCCAATTGTCGCCCTCATCAAGACTATAATAGAGGACCTTTGTTGGTCGCAACTCGGGAACAATCACAATCACTGACCCGGAATCGCCATACTCCCACATATATCGCCCTTTTTTTACGGACTTCCAGGTTATCCCGCCATCCCGAGTCATGAATGTGTCCGCTTCGTCCTTGCCAGACAGATGAGCACCAACGTTGCCTATCCCCATCATGAGGCCGATGGCGGACCCTGAAGAGAATGTGTCGCGTGGATCTCGGCGTTCGGTGTAGCCATGCAGATGAAGCGAGCATTGACCACTGCCTTTCCCACCTTTGACTGAACAACCAAAGTTTTTGCCATCGGCGTCTTTTGCTGGAGGAGGGAGTAACATCCACTGGCCACCATCATTGTGAGTGATCATTGTTTTTAATTTCTTTGCGGTTGGTCCCTTCTTCAATACGGCCTCCACATTGCTGATGATGTTCACAACCGCTACTCCTTCTAGACCTTGCATCTTCTCAAAGTCAACGTAGCCCCATTCATTCCTGCTCGCCGCGTTAAGGCTAAGGACATAGGACGTCCCATTACTGTTGCTCTTGATAATTGAGCCATGCTCAGCTCCTTTGACGTCACTCACGGTGACATGCAGAAAAACGGCATGAGTCGAGCTATCCAGAACAGTAAAAGCCGTTTTGACGGGTACATCAACATTTGGAGGAAACTCGGCTCGCGCAAATGTCCTGCCATCGACGCTGACGCTGGCAACTAACGAATCAGGATTGTCCGGGTCCCGCGAGGCTACAATTATGTATTCGGACATTGTAGCGTACCGGATCGCATCGTTGAAATGAACGTGGCTGTCAGAGAATAGGTTTTCGCTAGACAGCAGCTGTAGGTGGTTTTTCTTGTTCTCATTCTCATATTGCTGGCAAAATATAAGCTTTTCACTGCCCGGTCTGTTCTCGCGGCTCTCGAATTCACACTTTCCGACGTAGCGGAGGAGAAGATCCCAATTCTCCCCCCGATTCTTGCTAAAGTAAGCATCAGAGTGGCAATCGCCGTGAGCGCAGTCAACTGCGCCAGTCCAAATCAACCAGTCCTTGTACTGGGGGTGAAAAGAAAGGACCGGCAGGCCCTCCTGATTAGGTGGGATCGGTGCTTCGAAGGATTTGAAGGTATAGGCACGATCGACGGTCCAGAAAGCCTGTTTGTCGCGGGTAAGAAGAAACGCCCCATCACTGTAGTAAGGATGAGGGACAATGGCGGCAATCTTCACGCCCTTAAGAGGTTGTTCCCAATTTTTGCCATGATCATGAGAAACCCAAAATTCACCCTCGCTGGTAAGCATTATGACGGTCTCATCATCTCCACTGCTGCTTGCCTGACGTTCAAGGTAATAATATTGCTCACTAAATTGTCTCGCGTCATTAAACACCTGCTTCTGTGCCATCAGTTTGTCGTGTGAAGGCGCGCTAACTACATCCTTGCAAGGCCGCTCGACGTCTTTATCGAGGTTCTCGCCGCCCTCCCGAGTGCAAGTGTTTCCTGGAATAAGCCTCCAGCCTGACGGTCCCATGAACGTATCGGTCTGCTTCTGGCACCTGCCTACGGGGGGCACTAGTGGGGCTGCAGGTACACAGCTCTTTCCGTCTTCACTGCGCACAAAGTTGAAGTCGCACTCGAAATCTTCAAATGAGCATTTGCATGGTTCGAAAATGGGCTGCGGATCTTTGAATTCCTCGTCCACAAAACAGTCAGCGTTGGCCTTCCTTCGGTTGAAAAATTGCTGGTGTCCCATCAAACAGTCGGGTTCACCATTTTCGTTCAACCTTGCCGCCCACTTTTCGAAATCATCTTTCTCACACTTTCTTTCATGAAGACCGCGGAAGTCGATGGAGTAAACAACATGTTTTGTACCCGAACTTTCCTCTGAGCCAACAAGAAGGAAAGTCAAGCTGGTAGAATCGGGCGTCGTTGTCAGCAACTTGGGGTAAATCTTATGTTGAAGTTTGGTAGAATGCCACTCCTTCCCATGATCAATCGAGAACTGAATTTCGTCTGTAGTTCCCTTGTCACTGACAGCCATTATCACCGAACCCTGATCACCGAACTCGTACTTGAATGGACCGTCAAGCGCATGGCGCCAAGTCACACCAGCATCATCTGAGACATAAAGGCTACCTTCCGAGTATTTTTTGAGGTGGTCGCCTGTGTTACCAACACCCATCACCAGGCCCGGAGCGGGACTTGAGAAAACACGGCCTGTGTTGGCGAAAGTGGTCACGGAATGTAGATGCAACTGCTTGTCGCCAACTTTGAGGGACTGGAAAGTCCGTCCATCATCAAAACTAATTGAGCTAACAACCTTCTTCTCATTTTCTGATCCGACTTTGTCCCAGTTCTTCACTGTATTGACCAGCACAATACCTTGGATATCTGCTATCTTCTCAAAATCCACATGACCGAAGCGATCACGATTTGTATGTTCGACATTACGCGTGAAATAGGTACCGTTAGAGTTCGAGGTGAATAGTATGCCGGTGTTGCTAGAGGGGCTAGTCAGGACGTCCACTTGCATGCTATAGTTCGTGCTTTCCAGCAGTGTATAACCGTCTTGTTCCACTCGATGACCTCCAAAGTCTGCCCGATGCCAGGCCTTGGTATCCAGCGTGACATAAAGAGCCAGCTCATTTGTCCCTTGGGATTTTGCTGCTGTCACGAAGAACTTCTTGACAGCAGCAGCGCTGAGGATACCCGAAACAGGTCGTCCCTGTTGAATGTTCAGTTCCGTCCCTTCCGCGTCGCTTCTGAAGAAGTCGTCCGAGTACACAAGGCGATTTGCATGTGCGGATGGCACTTTCAGGCCAGGCACTATGCAGAGAACGCGATCACGGAGTTCGTCTTCAAGGTTCAATCCTTCGGCGAATTGTGGATGTCCAACAGCCCACGCGCATCCACCAGCACTGACCCGTAGTGGCGAGACGGTTTTGAAATCATCGGTAGAATAGTATGATTTCACTATACAAAACCGCCCCATACATTCATCGCTTTGGAAGATGACCTTTGAAGAATCCCAGCCATGGAAAATGAGAGGTTCGTGTTGGGTTGCTGCATATCCGTCGACCTCGAAAGATTCCCAAGTCTTAGCTTGATCCTTTGTCACCCAGTGACGTCGATTCGCACCCAGGGCATAGGCTCTATTCTTGTCAAACGGGTGTTGCCAGATGGAACGCACACCCTTCTTCATTTTACCATTTGGGTCATCCACCTGTTCCCAGCCCTTACCTCCATCGAACGAGCGGAAAAGATTGCCATCCCGTGTGTTCATAAGTATTGTTTCGGTATCCTCGAAATAGAACAATGAGAAGGGTTCATTGTCGAACGACGACGGAGTGATTTCTGGTTCTGACTTCTTCGCAGCACTAGACAGTGATAGAATGGCTAGCGCCAGGAAGCTTGTGATCAGTAGCCATCGAGTAATCATGGTAGCGGACCATAGGACAATCCACG